CTTTGAAAGATCTTTAGATATTGTTGATGCCATATTATTTTTAGCAAACCTATAAACTGTTTATAAACTTTTTCTACATAGTAAAATCCATTATAGCTTCAAATCTTACCCACACTCAGACAACCTCTCACCCCCTCCAGTTGTCCCTCCCTTAGTCTAAATCACCATCAGATCTCACCTGTAATGTCTTTGCCTTCCAAGTAGCCTTTGGAATTTACCTTTGTTCCACTTCAATCTAATCTCAACCCAGCAGCCAGGGGGATTTTGTCATATCACACCACATCTCTGTTAGAGCCCAGCACACACAGATGAAAAGTAAAATCCTTACAGTTGTTCATAATGTTCTGTAGGGCCTTGTCCGCCAACTCTCTGGCCTCATCTCCTAATTATTTTTTCCTTAGGGTCACTCAACTCCAGACGTGCTGTCATTGATGGTTACTACACATGCTCCTACTGCAAGGTCTTTGCATTGTTCTTCCCTGAGAGAGCCCCAAAACTCAACTGCTCCCTTTTTACCCTGCACATTTTTTCTTCCCTGCTTTTTTTCCCTCTTTAGCATTCATCATTATACATTGTACTTCTTTATATTGTTTATTGTCTTGCCTGTTATAATGCAAGTTTCATTTCTCTCCAATTACCCTATGTTAGCCTCTCCTGCTAGCATTTGGCATTCTTTGGCATATTTAACGTGATATCTTTTCATCAAAACTAGCACTTTGGTTTTTGCCTTTCCCAGCTTTGTTGAGATATAATTGACATATAGCATTGTATAAGTTCAAGTTGTACAACAATATGTTAATTTGGTCACTTACATATTGCAAAATGATTACCACCAGCTAACACATCTATCACCTCACATTGTTACCTTTTTTCTGTGTGGCAAGAACACTTAAGATCTACTCTCTTAGGAACTTCCAAATATACAATACAGTATTATTAACTAGAGTCACCATGCTATACATCAGATTCCCAGAACTTATCCGTCTTATAATTAAAACTTGTACCCTTTGACCAATAACTCCCCATTTAAAGCTACCCTTTTGAATCCTCCTCCCCCCACACAGGTCCAACTTCAATGTCTTTTCAATCCATACCAAACATATAAAAATAGCAAAAATCCTTCATATAATCAGGAAAAAGGGAAATATTCTAAGGGAGAATGGATTTTCACTGGGCAAGTCTGTGTAAGAGGTAAAGAAGTATAGGATAATAGAAGGCTAAAATATTACTTAATGCAGAAAAGTGATGGGAAAGACACCTACCCAGAACAGATGATCTCCAAACACCTACTGTGAAAGCAAGGAAAACAGACAAGTTCCTACCAATTCTGATGGACTTCTCACAGTGATATAACTTTTGGAAAATCTCAGGCTTTCTGGTCTTTGGATATTTCCTGTCTGATGCGGTCTACTTTTGTGCATACTTTTACCTTCTTAGAGTCATTCTGAATGAGAGCCATTTAAAATCAACATAGAAAGAACTGTCTTTACTTATGTCTCCAGTCCCTTAGTGATTAAGTGGACCCTTATGAGACTGCTTATATTATCAACCATCCTTTTACCTGTGACTTTGGGTCCACACCTTTTTCTAAGTTTTCTTCTGAGAAAGTGAATGAATGGGAGTGCCTTTTATTAGACTTTTTCCAATCTGGGGCATAACCTCATGCCCAATAATTCATAGGAGTATGCTTTTTCCAACTCCTGCTCATAAATAAAGTTAATTTGTCAAATACTTTTACATTAGCCAGAAGTTCAAACTAGTTAAGATGAAGAGTTAACCCCAAACACCACTACCTTAGATTATTTTTGTTCATGTACCCTTTTTAATAATTTTGAAAAATCATTATTGCCTCAAAGATTTTTTATTTTCAAGGGGAAAATCATTATGATATTAAATAGTTACAAAGCATTTAATTTCTGGCACAGTATAAGAGCTGACATTTAAAAAGGAAACTATTACAACATTCTTCTAAATGTTTCATGAGAAATCGAATGCTTGAATTTGATAACTACCATAATCCTTTTAAAGTATATTAAACTATTCTCTACCACCTAGAAATTTTCTATATTTCCGCTTTTCTTTGTTAAGTCATATTTCTATTCTACCATACCCTCCTAGATATTTATCTTTCTATGTTTTGTGCTTGAAAACATTTTGTTGATCATATCATTCTAATCTATAACAAAATATGCACAGGATTTAAATTTAAATTTTTACTTTTCTCTAACCATGAGATTTTAAATGTTATGCTTTTTTACGGATTGGGTTACAATTATAATTTTTAGTAACATATCCTTGATCAAAACAGCATAAGTATATTACAAATGTCAGTGAACTAAACATGAAAGGTAAACTTTTAACTGAAAAATCTTTAAATGAGATGAATGATAATCAAACTTTTCTTAGGCTTTTAGTGAAAGGCAACTGCATTTATTGCTAAAAACTTCTACACACTATAATCTAAAACATTGTATAATAGGAAATTTTATGAGGACTGACTGTAATTGGAATACTTTACATAATATTATAAATGTTAATCTCCAAGCTCTACCCCCAAGACATTCTGATGTAGTAGTTCATCCCCACCCCCCCACCCCTTATACTTTGGAAAGCAGTAGAACCTACTGAAGATGTGGGTCCTAATTCTAAGTGTGAAGGATAACCCCCTTGAAAGATTTAAGTTAAAGGCTGACATGCTCAGGACCATGGAAGGAGCAGTGAAGAGTGTGTTATGGGGGACCAGAAGAGGGTAGAGAGATACCAGCTGGGTATATCTTAGTAGTCTAGGCAGGAAATGGTGGTGGCTTAGCACAGGGTGGGAGTACTCATGATGGAAATAGATAGGTGCAAAACATATTTTAAAGGTAGAGCTAAACACAGTATGGTGATTAAATGAATGTGGAAGGGGATGTAGAAACAAGTGTCGATGGTGACTCTCAGATTTCTGGCTTAAGAAACTGAGTAATGATAGTTACTGAAATATGGAATACTGAAAGTGGGGCAGTTTAGGAAGGAGAGAAGGATCATGGGCCCATTTCGGACATGTCTGTTGCTTAGATATTCATGAAATTCTAGTTGGTCAGCTACAGCAGCATGCGTCTCAGAAAGCTGGTACAAACTAAAGCACTAGCCCTCAAACTTTAGCATCAGAATTGGCTATGGAGCTTGTTCAAACACAGATTACTAGACCCCACCCTCAGGATTTCTGATTTTATACATCTGGGAGACTAGGGGCAGGAACTTGAATTTTTAACAAGGATCCAGAAGATGTTACTGTTGACTCAGGGATCAGATTTTCAGAACAATAGAGATAGAGCTTGTATTTGGGAGTCACCTGGAACATGGATGATATCTGAAGCCATAGCAATTGATGAGGTTACTGAGGAAAGAGGCCAGAAATGGAACTATATAAAGCTTCAAAATTTAAAACATTAGTGGATGAATTGAGTATCCTACAGATAGTGAGAAGATGAGACTGAGAGTATGAACAAAGTAAGTGGCCTTTCACTCCTGTGACCTCTTATAGGTCTTTGTAGCCCTATAGAATTTGCTATACCTAGTCCTAAGGAAATAAAACGAAATAATGAATAAGTGTACTCTGGAAGCAGATACTACCATCTGGGACTGAAAAATCCAACATTTGCTTTCTGCTTCCCTCAGCTGAAAATTATGAAGCCAAATTAGGACACAAAAGCTGAGGAATTTAGGTTTGTTAAAAGGATAGATACATCTCTTAGAAGGAACACAACATCCATCCAAATTACTAAGGATCATCAATATGCAAAGAAGTCATTTGAAATCTCATCTGGCCCTGTGGGTTCTATTTCTATTATGCCTGTATTTAGTGGTGGACTACCTCTGTGTCTTCGGAATGTTAACGATGGTGCTTGGTCTTGAAAGGGAAAGAAATGCTGCATGCCTTCTCCCTGCCCCCTTACCGAAGGGCCCAACACTCTTCCTGACGTATGCTTCCTTTTTCACTGTTTCCAGTTCACTCAATCCTTTTCTCGTAAACTTGAAAATATTAGCCACATGGTTTATTTACGAATGTTTCATGGAGGGATATCCAAGCATTTCTCATATTTCTTAAGAAAAATTGACTTCCAACCCTACCAGGGTCTTTTGTGACATCAAGAAAGGCCATTTGGCCTGTTGGGCCACATACTTGTCTCAACATCCAGTAACATCTATTGCACGACTCAAGGCCCCAGTTGAGAATGCAGTTATTTCTGTTACCATCGACTCCCAGAGACAAAGGGAACATTTTGTTAGTGACTCTCTTCTTCACATTCACAAGGTTAGTCTGGAGGTAATTTTAGCATCTCTGATCATGGGTAGAATTCACTTAAGCTTCTGACATTTTCTGGCTCTTTGTAACCCCATGGGCCAGGACTGCCCACACATAACAGGTGATTTGCCCACACAAAGAAAGCACAAAACAGTTTCTGCCTTAACAATGAAGTCCTCCAGCCATATTTTCTGATGTTTTCCCTTGTTGCCAATCTGTCCTGTCATTCTCTGGATCCTGCCTAATAATCCTCCCCTGTACATGGATGGAACAGCCTGCCAGCCTGCCCACCCATCTCTCCATCAGGCCCAACTATCCACCCACCTGCCTGCTTGTCTGCCCACCTGCTCGCCTGAGCTATGGATCGGGCTTTGTTCATCTGACACATGATTTTTCTTTGTTCTATTTTGTTTCTGTTTTTGTAGAGAATAAACTTTGCAGAGTTTTTGTTTTGTTTTGTTTTTCCAATTTGAGCAAATGTGACCCACAACATCTCCCTCACCTTTTGCTTTAGTTTGTTATAAGTAGCAAGTATGAAATCAATGTTCTCCTGAAACTCATGCTATGCAATAAACATGAAACTATTTTTAGTAAATTGGACATTTTAAAAATTCAGCTGTAGTTGAAATTTAAAGGGTTTCTGGGATAAACATTTACATATTGAAAAGGATTCATTTATGCTATGAATCCTTTCCTAATGTATAGTTTTCATACCTTTAGACGGATCTTCTTAAAGTGGACCACTCCAGCAGCTTGAGCATAACTTCTGTCATTCATAATCCTTCTCATCTATGGAAGGAGGATAATTTCACTATTACTGGTCATTACCATAGCATTTACCAGTATAGAACTATATTGAATAGAGAAAGCCCTCTCCACAGCCTCCCAGCTGTGAAAGCCTACAGGGTTCAATCCTGAACTGGTGTCTTCTGGATGACATAAATGTCAAGAGTCATAAATTTCTATGTTGAAGATGTTTTCTGCCTGAAGGTCCCAACAATCTAGAGTAATACCAGGACTCTATACATAAAACAAGCACAATGTGGTACAATGAAACCAATCATTTCTGTCAAGTTAATGAATATGCCAACTGAGAAATGAAAAGTCCATCTGCAGCAACTGGTACTGTCTGAAATGAGTGCATCAGCTGTGCCCCAGTTTAATGCACAGGCTGAATATAGAAATGGCCTATATACCGCTAACATTTTCTTCCACACAAAGAAGACTATGATTTTGTTTACATGACAGCCAAAGGAGGGTATTCTTTCCTTCTTAGAGTCATCAAAGTGCTCCACATTTTCCTATATTTTCCAGTGCCCCTATAGCAACAAGTCCTTTGAATCCTCATTTTAAAGATATGTTATTAAAATAAAACCAACCAGTTGTTTAGTCCTCCGATCTAGGTTTCTGGGAAACAAACTGCTGGACTCTGGAGCTTACTGATGATGTAATAGGCTCAGAACAAACATGGGGCTAGTCCGCCATGGCAGTTACATATGAGCAGAATATATTAAAGAGTGTCAATTTTCATCATCTAGTAGATAATTAAGTTTCAGTATGTCTATATTTTAAACTTACTTTTAAAAGATACTGAATTATAACTATCCTGGGGTCAGGGAGTACATCAAATGTACGTTTGTAATTCCCATAGTACATCCTATAGAGAACTGCACATAACAGGTGCACAATTAATCCCTAAGATAGTCATAGAATATCAAAGTTGAACCCCAGGGAACCCTTAAAATTGTACTGGTCCAACATTTTTCTGAAGTTTTCTTTCCTTCCTTCCTTCCTTCCTTCCTTCTTTCTTTCCTTCCTTCCTTCCTTCTTTCTCTCTCTCTCTTTCTTTCCCTCCCTCCCTTCCTCCCTCCCTCCCTCCCTCCCTTCCTTCCTTCCTTCCTATTGAGAGAGAGAGAGAGATTGAGAATGAGTAGAGGAAAGGCAAAGATAGAGAGAGAATCTGAAGCAGTCCCCATGTTGTCAGAGCAGAGCCTGACCCAGGGCTCAAACTCATGAACTGTGAGATCATGACCTGAACTGAACTCAAGAGTCAGATACTCAATTGACTGAACCACTCAGGTGCCCCTGAAGTATGAATTCTTTTAAATATCTGACACAAAACATCTGCTCAGTCTTTTCATGGATGCTTCTAAAGTTAGGGAAGTCACTGCCTTCTAGGCAAGTCCATTCAAAGTTGGGGAGTTTTGACTTACTTAATGAAAAAAGGTATAAAACAAACACTAGAGAAATACAGAAAAGTATATCCAGTAGATGGATAGCACTCTCGTGATCAAAATCAACATGTTAAACTCCATGATCAATTATTATAATCAGCTCCTTGCATGTATCTACAATTCGCTTGCCTCTCTTTAGCTGTATTCTACTCCATTGACTAAATAACAACCCTGCTGAAGTACATCTCTCCAACCGTCCATGCTCGCACATTCTGCTGTACATGTACGAGTAAAATACAGATCTAGGATAATTGGTCACCCTTTAAATTCATGAACCTCAGAGGGATCCTAAGGATGTACGACATTCTACCCTTGACCAATTACTTCTCCCACTCTTCTGAATGACTTTCAGGCCTCTCTTCTTTCCTCAAAACTTCAAGTATTCTCCCCATCCCTATTTACAGTGGATCACCTTCTTTCCTATTTCACTGGAAAAAAAATAGATGTACTACAAAGAGAAATTCCTCATTTCCCCAATTGTATCTACCCAACTACTGGCATCTGTGCTCATAAAGCATCCTTGAACCAAGGCTAATCCCTCCAGTTATATATTAGCTCCAACCTCTTTTGACTTTTAAGGTTTTATCATCAATTTCCCCCTCCCTACTTGGATCATTACCCTGAATATACACATGGTAATATTTCCCTCAACCCTTTCTATATCCTCTTCCTGCTTCTGCTATCTCATTTTTCTCATTCTTTTTACAACAAAACTCCTTGAAAAAAAACTGTCTATACTCTGCAGCTCTTTTTTCCTTCCACACCCCTTCAAACCATTTCAGTCACACTTTCCCCTATATCATCATTACAAGGACTATTTTCTTAACAAAATTATTTTGTCAAGTACATATCATCATCATTTTTAATAATCTCTTAATAGCATTTGTCAGGGACACGTGGGTGGCTCAGTTAGTTAAGCACTGGACATTGGCTTAGGTCATGATCTCATGGTTCATGAGTTCAAGTCCCTCTTTGGGCTCTGTGCTGACTATGCAGAGCCTGCTTGGGATTCTCTCTCTCTCTCTGTCCCTCCCCCCACTTGCTCTCTCTCACTCTTTCTCTCTCAAAATAAATAAACAAAAAAAATTGCATTTGGCATAGTTGATAACTCTCCCTTTCTCTAAATATTTTCTTCACTTGGTGAGGTAGCTGTGATCAGTTCTTTTCCTTCCTTTAAGTCCATGCCACTCCCCTGCTAAGAAATAGTGTCTATTCCTCCACTTCCTTGAATCTACGCTAGTCTGTCATTGCTTTGACTAACAGAATATGCTTTGACTAATAGAAATAACACTTTAAGTTCCAGATCTAACTTTTAAGAGGACTGGCAGTTCCTGTTTCTTGCCCCCTTGAACGCTGAGCTAAGAAAGCCAGGAGGCCACATGGAACAGTACTGAGGTGCCAGACATGTGAGTAAAAAAATAACTTTGGTCTTTCAGCCCAGTCAAGCCTTCAATGACTACAGATCCAGCCAAGATCTGACTTCAGCCAGATGTGTAAAGCCTCCATGATGGGGCCCCCGGTACCTGTCAGACACATCCTGTCACCCTTCCTCTTTGCTCATTCTGCTCTATCATGTTGGTTTCCTTGACACCCCTCAAAAGTGCCCAGCTTGTCCCAACTTCAGAGGGCCTTTGCCTTGGCCTTCTGCCTTCAACATTCTTCCCCTTAACAGCAGCCCCTCCCCTCCTTTCAGGGTTTTTTTTTTTTTTTTTTGAGTTTATTTATTTTGAGAGAGAGAGAAAGAGATTAAGGGGGGGAGGAGCAGAGAGAGAGGGAGACAGAGAATCCCAAGGAGGCTCTGCGCTGTCAGCACAGAGCCTGATGTGGGGCTTGAACTCAGAAACCATGAGATCACCTGAGCTGAAATGAAGAGTCAGAGGCTCAGCTGACTGAGCCACTCAGGCACCACTTCCCTTTCAGTGTTGATGCAAATATCAACTCCTCTGCTAGACCTTTTCTTATCACTCTCTCTAAAATTACTGTTCCCAAGACACTTCATATTCTTTTTACCTATTTTATTTTTCTTCTTAGCACTTGTCACTAAAATAGTGTATATTTGCTTACTTTTCCTGTTATTTATCTACACCACTCTAATGCACACTCCAGGAAGGAGCAGATTTTTGTCTGCTTCATTCTGTTGTTTCTCAGCACCTAGAGAGCATTGTCTGTTACCTAGAAGATGCTCAGTAAGTACTCATTGAATGAACAAATACATTATTTTTCTGAAATAAAATAAACACACATGAGCTGAATTTCACTGTCTGGCACATATAAATTGCCCAATAAATATCCACCGAATTAATGAATTATTTTCCTAAGATTTAAAACACAAAATACATGAGCAAAAATTTCATTGCAGTGAATTAGAGACACTGTTTCACTGCAAATGTGGAGAGTATATCATTCTGCAAGTAGATCATAACTGGGGCTGTTTCTCACATAGATATTTTCAAAATAATGGTATATTCTTCAACCTTCATGTGTGATGTCTGTTTCTTATCACTAATATATTGGATAGCCTATCTTTGACTGCTAATCATAATAGAATTCAATTAAAATACATTAAAGGGGAAATTCCCTACCTTATTTCTTGGCAGAAGAAAACGACTCCAACTCACTCATTCACTTTGTGATGAAGTTCATTTGTTCAGGTAGTATATCAGACTTAAATGAGAGAAAGAAAAAGGGAAAAAAGGATAAGCTTAAGCATTTAAACTCTCTTTTCTTAATTCCTATAGATGGAGAAGGTACATCTTTAGTCACTCGAGCCCTGTAGTTTCTGATGCCAAAAATTCCACTCCTCGTTCCTCCCACTCTTCTTGACATATATTTAAAACAGCCAAATGTAAAAGGAACTCACCATATCTTCACGAGGGGAGGAAGCTGTGCATTCCCTTTACTGTATCCTGGGATATTTTTAGCACATTTAAAGAACAGATTTTGACAATAGCAAAATAGGGCTGTTTGAGAACTAGTTATTTAAACCCCTGCTGAATGTATCCTGACAAAAATTAGAGAGTTTTATTAATTAGATAGCCTGAGGAGAGAATTAAAATCTTGAATCACCACCCTGTGTGCCAAAATAAGTTGAAATCTTCAAACTTAGGCTTGTAATTAGAAGGTCCTAGGGAGAGAGCCAGGGTATTCACTATTCATATCGAGGAACCTGGCTGGCAGCACACGTTAGTGAGAGAAACTGTAGCAGCCAGTTCAGAACGACAAAGAAAAAAAATGGGTGTCATTGAAAATCTGTGCGCCTGACTTCAATCTCCAAGAAACCAGGACAAGGAGTTGGAATTTACTGCTTTGAAAAACAGGGGACTGTGACATTGTCTTTCCAATTTACACTGAAGCCTTGGTGCCATTATCTGTACAAAGGGTAGAAAAGGCAAAGTTTAATTGCCCCACTGTTTTCTTAAGGATAAAAAGGTAGGGATGAGAAATCAATGGAATCCTTTCCCAAGCTCCAGCAGGCAATATTTTTATCTAATAATCTGTACTGGAGCTCCAGTGATTTTCATGCAACTTCAAATATTCTCTAGAATAAAGTACCATGTTGTAGCTCCCATAAATGAGAATGCTTACTTTTCAAAAATATGACATTTTTGAAATCATTTGCATTTTAAAGGTCTAGGGAATTTTAATCACTGATCAGTTTTAACCCACGTTTCCTGCAAGCGAACATGAGCATACACCCTCGACTTTGCCATCCTCATAAAAATTCTCTGTTAAGCTCTGGCTTTCATGTGTTTTTAAAATGGCTCAGCCCCCCTGCAGCTCTCATTGGCCTGCTTTCCCAAGTGGTCCCCCTGCTTGGAAGATGAAAGGCCCTCTCCACCTCAGCCAGGGCTCACTTCCGCTTACACACTAGTGGAAAATAACTTAAAGATGGAACAGGAATTGAATATACAGGCTGACCTTGAGCTGGCACAATGCATTTCCTCACAGGGGCTTTTCAGTTCTCGTGTGGTCTTTATTCCCACTGGGAAAAGCCACCTGATACTCAAATTTCTTTAATTAAAACATATTGTACTGCTTCATATCTATCCAGTCATTATGGAATATAAGAAGCCAACTTATTTCATGGCATAATAGTTTTGGATTCTGGAGTCAGGCTGCCTACATTCAAATCCCACCTCCTCTTGAGGAAGTTACTTAACCTTTCTGTGTCCTGTTTCCTCATCTATAAGATGAGAAATATTGCTTCTATAAAATGGGAATATTATCTATTTCAAGGGATTGTTGTAAATATTAAATAAGTAAATATGCATAAAATATTCTATAAGCATAAGCTATGATTATCTTATATATCCCTTTTACTAACATAGTAAGATAAGTAGGATTAAGAGATACTGTTAGGGCTGTTAATGACATTTAATGCCTTCAGGATTAAAACCACATAAAAATTCTGTGATACCTACTGGTTCATGGGTATTGACCATTGCTATGGTCTGAATATTCTTGTCCCTCCACTCCCAATTTATATGTTGAAATCTTAACCCTCAAAGTTGATGGTATTAGGAAGGTGGGGCTTTTGGGAGGTGAGCAGTAGGTCATAGGGGTCGAGCCCTCATAAAGACAATTAATATGTTATAAAAGAGACCTCGCAGAGATCCCTAGACCCTTCTTCCATGTGAAGACACAGCCAAAGGTCAGCAGTCTGCAGCCTGAAAGGGGGTTCTCATCTGACCATGCTGGCATTCCGATCTTGGATTCCCAGCCTCCAGAACTGTAAGAAACAAATTTCTGTGGTTTATAAGCCATCCAGTCTGTGGTATTTTATTATAGAATCCTGAAAGGATTAAGGCAACCATTTTGACAGTTACTAAACACTTGTCATGTCCACAGCAAATGTTCAATAGACTCCATTTCTGGCCACCCATTAGCTGGTGTTCAGGGCAATAGGCTAGTTTCCTTATGAATGAAGATACGATGTTCTTGCCAAATAAGAGCCAGACAATACATCTCTCAAGTAATATGCAGTCAATAATATTTAAGTGATTCTCATGGAATTATGTGCCATTACTACTAATAAGCTTTTATTGGGTGATGATTGTGTGCTGGGCATGAAGCCAGATGCTGAGGACACACAGAACCACGAAAAAGCCTTTACAATAGGGTTAAGCTCTAGTTGGAAAGACAGGATATAGTTATCAAGAGATAAATAAAAAAAAATGGCAGCGTAAGGTCAGTACAAAGTAAGTGGCACAGATAGCCATGCTCTAGCAATTCTAAAGGAGCAAGAGCTTATCCTGGGTTTGGGCAGTTAAAAAATGTTTTCCTACATAAAAAATTAGAATTCAGGCAAAGTCTTAAACTGAAGCAGAACTTTAAATAGGAAAAAGAGGAGAGAAGGCATTTTAATGGTCAAAGGATTAGAAATGTTTATGGCATCATTGGGAAATGAGCTGGCTAGTTTAGCTGGATCAGGGTGTCATAACCCCTCACCAGCAGTGATTCCCCAATTTCACAAAATATGTATTTTTAAATGCAATTTGAATTTAGGCTCACTGAAAAATTCCATATTTCCTCAGGCAGGGCACTGTCTCCTACATCTACATAGTTAACCAGTGTAAAGGAGCAGTTCCCTAGTGTGCTATATTAAACTTCTCTGCAACTATTTTTTCATTTGTCAGTACATCCAATCAGATGAATGTTGAGGAAAGTTGGAAGAGAGACTTAATTCAGCCACAGGACTACTTTAGAATTTTTCTTGAAAAAGGACTACAAAAGTAAAAAAAAGAGGAGAGGAAAATTAATAGAATATATATTTCTTTTGCCCATGCTACTCTGTACCTAATCAGAAAAGTAGAACATTTAGAAGTAAAAGGAAGTATAGCGACTATTTGTATATCCCTCTTCACAATGAAGAGACAGTGATGTATTCATGAAGGAATAAGAGTGTATAGTAATTATGGGCAAAATCAGGACCAGAACTCCAGACTGGAAGTCTGATCTCCTGACTATCTGGATACCAGGCTAGTGGGGAGAACTTGAAGGGTGAAGATTGGCCACAGAAACCAGAAGGAAGTCAATGGGCAGGTGATTGTGGGGTGGCCTCTGGTTTTAAAAGAGAAGTTGAGGGAGTAGGGCATTCTGAAAGAGTGAACAAGCCATGATATTGAAGCCAGAAAAAAACAGCACTAAGATCAGAATCTTTGCGAAGTGGGACTCTGTGAATCAGAGGTCCCTTGATGTGACCTAGGGATTTGAGACTAGAGTAGAGGTATATGGCATCCCCTATGAATTCTAATTCAACCTGTGAAATGAATCATACCTTTGGTGATCAGAAATGGACCTCAAGGAGTATTTCCTTGAATATCAAAGACTCTAATATATTTTTTGATACTTTATTTAAAGTTCCTATTTTTCTTGTCAACTGATTCTATAGTTATTGCTCTTAGGAGCTCTTACCAATAGAATATAGGAAGATTCCAGCAGGCAAGATGCAATGGTAGATCAAATGAAAACATGATTGATATAATACTCATTGAGATTCATCTTGATAATCAGTAAATCAATGTTATTGTAATGGTTATTTTTAGTTGGTAGATGACTTCTGAAAACTTTATTTTACTTTCTGGTTTAATTGTAACATTTAAAAAACTTTTTTTCTTCAGGTCTATCTCTCCAAAGAATATTTCTCCCTTCACAGAAAATCTGAATGCTCAACTCAGCAAACCTGACATATGAATAATATTGGTGTCGAGATCTGTCTTATTAAATATTTTATAAATGGTAATGATGAGAGAGTGGGAGCAGAGTGCCATTTGCAAGCCTGAAGATAAAAAGTCATGTTGTAGATAATTGAATTCTATGCAGATGGAGATAAATCCCAATGAGATATATAAAGGTAAAGAAGCAAAATAGTTTTAATGTGGAGAAAATGTTAAGAATATTAATTAAGGGACAAATAAAATTAAAGTTTAAAATTTATAAGTTATGATTTACAAGGTCAGTTTGATTGATTAATGTCTTGTGAGAATATTATTTAAAGTGAATTGAAGACTACTGGTTGTAATCATACAAGTTGACAGCCAAGAAGGCCAAACACAGGTATATTAAGGATAGTGAACATAAATGCTGTCAATCCCTTGTACACAATATGTTACCGCCTCACCTGAATTGCTTCCTGTACTTCTTGTCATTGTACCTCCAGAAAAAGAGAGTCAATTTGGAAAAGCCTTGCAATCTTACTAATCATTGTTTCCCCAAAGTTCTTGGAACGTAACAGGTTTTCAAAAATTATTTTGTAAAATGAACCATTAGGAGACCTGATATGATAAATTAGAACAATGGGACGGTGTAAGCAAAGGTGTAGTTGCCGATTGGAAAAGATCAGTCTGAGAGTTAGAGGCTGAAGAACGTTTAGAATAAAACCAACAAAATGAATGGGGCGCCTGGGTGGCTTAGTCGGTTAAGCGTCCGACTTTCGCTTAGGTCATGATGTCGCGGTTCGTGGGTTCGAGCCCCGCGTCGGGCTCTGTGCTGACTGCCAGCTCCGAGCCTGGAGCCTGTTTCAGTCTGTGACTCCCTCTCTCTCTGACCCTCCCCTGCTCATGCTATCTCTCTCTCTCTCTCCTAGAAATAAATAAAAAACATTAAAAAAAAAAAAAACCAACAAAATGGATGGAATCCCTCCCACTCGATAAAAAATTCAGAATATAATAAATATGAGGCATCCTGTGACATTTAAGAGATAAATATAAGTCAAATAAAAAGGGATTTGCAAAGCACACACTAAATGTACATATCTCATTACTTCACAAGGTACATATGTTGAAAATGTATATGAGCTTTTTAAAAGGGTTTAACGTAATATAAAAATATATATTCAAGGAAACAGGAATGTTTAAGTGTCCTAAATTCTTGAGATTGATACAATCAGGAAGAAACTATGCTCCAACCCCCTCAAGGCATAAATTATGTATAGTGTGAAAAACACTAAATTTGGAATCAGAATAGCTTACTCAATTTCATTCTGCTACCTACTAACTCCATGACCTTGCACAAGTCACAATTCCTCTAAATCTCATTTTGTCATCTGCAAAATGGGGTTAGTAAGAACTTCCTTGTGAAACTGTTGAATAATAAATACAATAATGTAGCTGAATGTACATTAAGGACAAATGGATATATCGCATACGAGGTCTGAAATAATTCCTTGGTATCACTAAGATATAGAACATTAGGATGACCCAAAGTGATACTGATGGTTTGAGAATTCAATATCCAAAGTTTCCATTTATCAAATTTCCAATTGACATTTTGCTGGGAATATACTAATTTCATGACCATAGTTATCTCTGCCATGGGTACTTAGTACAAACACCTATCTTTTATTCTTAGAATGCAGGGCTTGATGGCAAGGGAGGTGCAGAAAGGAGGGGATTCTAATGGCCTTTTATGAATTTATTTTTGAAAGTTTATTTATTTCTTTTGAGAGAAAGGGAGAGGCAAAGGGAGAATCTCACGCACGCTGTGCACTGCCAACTCAGGGCCCAATGTGGGGTTCGAACCCACCCACCAAATCATGAGATCATGACCCAAAATCAAGAGTCAGAGGTTTAACCAACTGAGACACCCAGGCGCCCCCTGACTGCGTTTTAAAAAATATCTGAGGAGATTACAAGTTTTAAAACCTGGCAACTTTCACCATTTCCCTGGAATGAGCAGATATAAGAGAAGGTATAAATATTACTGAAATAGGGGCACTTGGGTGACTCAGTCGATTAAGCCTCTAATTCTTGATTTCCACTCAGGTCATGATCCTGTGGTTCATGGGTTCGACCTTTGCATTAGGTTCTGCACTGACAGCGTGGAGCCTGCTTCAGATCCTGTGTTTCCCTCTGCCCCTCCCTTGTGCATGCTCTCTCAAAAATAAATAAACATTACAAGAAAAAAAGGTTACTGAATAAGGAGTTCATTTTCAGAGCTAAGGTAGATCTACTAGGATCTCAGTGCCTGAGTGGCAGCTCCTCAGAAATCCTGGCTTCTGGTAACACAGCAGTAGGTTTTTTCGCTTAAAGATTACATTAAAACTCTAATATTAAAGATTAAAAAGGAGTAGCCCAGATTTTAATGGAGTCAGGATTACTGGCCCCCCTGGAACCTCACTCAAACAGCCACAACAGTCTCTAGGAATCTGGCTCAGTAAAACACAAACAAACAAACAAACAAACAAACACTGACCTGCTGTAAATGACTCACTGGTTCCCAGAGAGAGCATGCAAACTGATTTCTGGTAATATCTCTTGTCTCCTCAAATATCTTTAGTGTACTGGTTCACAACCTTGGCTAAAAAAAGAATCACCTGGGAAGCTTTCAAAAGTCCTGAAGCTTCGGCTATATTCTAGAACAACTAAATTAGAATCTTTGGGGGTGGGATCCAAGCATTGGTATTTTTAAGGCTCCCCAGATGATTCCAATGGTGGCTAAGGCTGAAAACCACAACTATAACAGCTTTCCATTCCCAGCTGAATCAAATCCATTCTCTTTAGCTTGGCACTGAACTCCTGCCACACCTTAGGCCCCATTTATGTTTTCAGGCTTATTTACGGTACTCACAATGTACTAGACTTATCAGTCTGTTATGTTCTTGCATGGTTTACCTGCTGATAAGATCCCTGTGCTTACTTCCACTTATCTTACCTTTGCTTATTCAAATTACATTCATCTTTCAATACCCAGTTCCAATAGCAGTTTTTCCATGAAGCATTCCTTGATCCTCCAGTGTAGTGTTTTTAAGATTTATTTATTTTTGAGAAAGAACGCAAGCAGAGAAGGGACAGAGAGAAAGGGGGACAGAAGATCCAAAGTGGGCTGTATGCTGACAGCAGCAAGCTCAATGTGGGGCTCAAATTCATGAAATGTGAGGTCATGACCTGAGCCAAAGTCAGATACTCAACTGACTGAGTCAACCAGGTTCCCCTCCAGTGTGGTGTTTTTAGAACATGCCCACAAATTGTTTGACTTTTCTCCCACAAAAGGTAGAGTGTAATTCCTTTCCCGTTAAATGAGGGCTAGCCCTAGTGAATTGATTTCAACAAACAATTGGTAGAGTGACTTTTAAGTAAGGCTGGATTAGAAAAAGCCATATAGCTTCCAGCCGCTGCTGTTTTTCAACACTCAGCCCAAGATAGAGAGACCAGATAGAGGGACCACAAAAAGAGTGAGATGCCTGAGAAGCTTAACTATCCCAGGAGACCAACTTTTTGAGTCTAGGCAGCATCAACTGCTAGACATGCAAACAAATGAACCTTCAGATGATTCCAACCTGTAAGTGTCAAGCCATCCAATTGAGGTCATGAAGTAGAGACGATTTATCCCTGCCGTGCTGTCTCATACTTCCCAAACCACAGAATAATAAATGGGTATTTAACAACACTAAGTCTGCGGATAACTTGTTACACAGCCATAATAATGAAAACTCACTTCTCTATCTCATTTTATCTCTGTGTCACATATTGTACCTAACATATTCTCTTACTATTTTTATTACTAAACTTGTTGTGTCTCCCATTCTAGAGTGCTAAGTATTTGATGGTGGAACTCCTAGTTTATTGATTTTTGTGTCTTCCACTATGCCTTGTCTTAAAATGTGTTCAAAATTGGCAACTTTCAGCACAAACAGGAACTAGCCTTCCTAAGGAATGTTTCTGCTTTTGCTTGGTTCCAAACTCCTGACTCTAATTGCCATTTATCTTCACCTTATTTAATGAAATTAAAGACCTCATATTCCATTGACAATACAAAGACAACAAAATGTTGAGAATAACTGAATGTACAAGAATGAATGATAGCAACCTGTGGAATGTAACTAATAAAATACAATAATATATATGAATATAATATAAATACAAACAATATGCATTATGGGTCTCATGCTAACCTTTCTAATCTTCACTCCAGGGAACTGACAGATTCTTAGCTGTGTGGCTAAGGGGAATGTTTCTGACCTTGACTGGTCTGTATCCTCTCCTTTTCTTGAGCTGGTTATGTATTCCATGAAAGGTGTTTATGTCCCACATCATGTGTGCTGGAATGTTGGTTCCTTTTAAGGATTTTTGTCAAATGTAAAGAGTTGTCTATTGTAAAAGGCAGCATGGCATGGTAGGAAAAGCCTGGACATACTGGGTTGAAATCCTGGCTTGAAGTTGCAGTTGGCTGATTTGCCTTCAGAAAACACCTTCACATTGATGATACTCAGTCTCCTTAACCGAAAGTGTGTGTGTGTGGGGGATATTACATTACAGGATTGTCAAAAATAAGTGAAATTAAATACTAACAGTGAATAGTGATTGGCACATAGTTGACATTCAAAATCATTAGGTATCTTACCAATGTCCTTACATTTTCAAGGCAAATTTACTTAGGTTTAGAATTTTTGAAATCTTTATGTATAAGGAAGTTCACTTTTCTCCAACAGACTCCACCAAATGGTGGCTGGAGCTGTGACTTGAGAAAGTCTTTGGTCTCTTTTGTCTCTGTCTCTCTATTTCTCTCTTTTGAGCAACTTCTTTCTCTTTCTCCCTTTTTGGTCTGCCAGACCCATGCTAACCTAAACTAAGAGTGTTATTTTAGTCTCTGATATGTTGCCATAAAGAAAGAAGTTTTGAGGTCGGATATAATCGAAAAAGTGCTATCCTACTGAGCAGATGTCTTTGAGTCCATAATATTTCCTATGTTATAATTTTAAGCATTCCCCTGGCTGTAGTTTTCAGAGCAGAGATTAGCTATATAACAATTTTTATTACTTCTATGAATAGATTTCAAATCAATTTTTTTTTTAAAGTACAGGCCCAAGAGATCAGTACCAGCTCTCTCTCCAGCCCTTTTTCTTCATTTAGAGTTACCACATCTGTTTGTTATCCTTCCCTCCCATCCATTAGCTCACCAAGTCTGGTTGATCGTACCAGTGAAATACCTCTCAAATCTTCCCATTCTTCTTAGCCCTGCTACCACTAACATAATTAAGTCTATATAAGTGCATCTCAAACTTTAATATGTATTGGAATCACTGAGTGAACTTGTTAAAATGCAGGTTCTCACTCAGTCTTGGTGTGCACCAGGATTCTGCATTTATAACAAGCTCCTGGGTGATGTAGAGGATGCTGTTGGTCCAGGACCACATTTTGAGTTACTAAGATCTATATTACAGCAACACTTCATTCCTGGGCTCCCTGCCTCAGTCTTGCCTGTGTCAATCTTGATGTTTAGACCAACTTGAGAAATTTTAAATATAGGTCTGATCAGATCTATTTCGTACCCCTACTCTCAGCCCCATCTTTTCAATGATCTCCCATAACTGTCAAGATGAAGTCCAAACTTCTTCACATGATTTAAAATACTTCTTAAGGGGCATCTGCATAGCTCAGTAGGTTGAGCATCCAACTCTTAATTTCAGTCATAAGATCAAGCCCCACATTGGACTCTGTTCTAGGTGTGCACCCTGCTTGGGATCCTCTCTTTCCCTCTCTCAAAATTAATGTATAAATAAACACTTTAAAAAATTTAATCCCTCTTTGCTTCTACAGCATTATTTCTCTCTCCTCCTTCATTCAACATATATTTGATAGATGCTACTATGACACAGTTCCTGGCCATAGATGAGAGCTTGCAATGCCTTTGGCACATCCTTCTTGCTTCTAAAACTTTATTGCTGCTCCCTCTGCTTTGAACATAATAATACCTCCCTCTTCCTCTGCCTCCAGCTTCCCTGGTTAGAGCCTCTTCATCATTCAGGACCAAACTTGGACTCATCTCTTCTGGAAGACTTCCCCTTCCCCCATTACGTGTTCCTCCTATATGGAAATCTATTTGTAACATCTGGTTTGCACAGTGCTGGGACAGAATAGGAACCCAGAAATGAGTTGAATGAATAAATAGCACTTATGTTGCTGTATTTTAATGGACTGTTTATTTGACTATTTCCCCATAGTAAATTTTTTGAGGGCAGGAACCATTATTCATCTTTTATCTCTAGTGGTGCCAAGGCAACTCAGTAAATATCTGTTGAACACATTAATGCATGAACGCATAAAAGAATAAAAGGTGATCCAAGATCTCCAAATCACAGATATAAGCAAAGTTATGAATGGATTAAAATGTTATAGCCGAAGGAAATAATAAATGCCAGAGCTCAGATATGGGCTGGAGACAAGCAGGAAAGATCAATGTTCAGGTTTCTAGTGTTCTGAAGGAATAAAAGTGCTATGGGTGAAATTCCTGTACAATCAGGTTTTACAGAAGTTGAATGCAAGTGTAATTGTATAGAAAAAAAAAAAATGAAAAACACCAAACACTCCGGAAAAAAACAAAGAGAAGTTCACCCCAAACCAGTTTTCACAGCTACCAGATGTTCTGCTAAACTCTTAAAAATTCTCCAGTTTTCAGTAGTAACTACCTAGTAGAGTGGCTAAGCAAATGTGTTATCAATTAGGGAGTATTTCAAAGGGAGGACCAAAGAGAGATAATTTGAGCACATCTTTTACTGAGCCACGATTATACCCATATGTTCACAAGAAGAATCGCCATAGAAGACAGTGAACATTTTGTACTTTTCTCTCACTCTTGACCTCTCGTGTCTTGAGAATTTTCATGAGCAGGATTCTACATTGGAGAGATTATTTTCCAGTGAACGCATGCCATGAAAACAAAAGAGAGCTGTCCCTGCCCTCCTGGTGGTTTAAATTAACAACAGACATGGCAAACCAAACAAACAAGCAGAGCCATAGTGCTGGGATAGTGACTTAGCATCAGATGGGGCCTCAGGAATCCTTCCTGAAATCCTGGAAACAAAACAAAACAGCTCTTAAAATTAAAAAAAAAAAAAAAAAAAGAAACCAACACACAAAAATCCAAACTAACCAACCAATCAAACAAGAAACCCAAAGGTTGTTAAAAAAAAAAAAATCCTCACGTTATCAAAGAAGAGACAGGTTCATTTGAAGTCTGAGGAAGCTATCTGGAAGCAGTGTGTTTCCATCTCCTCTCCTTTTTCCTCTGCCTTCCCTCCTTAGCCTTCCTGTCCTCTTGGCCTTCGGTCCCCCTGTCTCCCTGCCCGTCCAGTCTAATTCTTACTAATGCCTCCCATGCCTGGGAGTGTGGATAAAGGCAAGTTACATCCTGCTTGAAGGGTGGGGTAGGTGAGAGGCAGATCCAAGAGCTGGAGCTGAAGGCTGACGGGAACAGGAGTTCCAGCCTGATCCCGACAGCCAGCGAGGTGGCATTCTTGCCCTCCTCAGCTCACATTCAGGGCCCCTGGTACTTGAAAGAGAAACTGGTTCAGTTTTGACAGAGATCACACAGGGAAGAGAAGGTGGGAAGATCTAGGAGGATCCTATCCCACGAATTACCAAAGGACCATCTTGGCCATCTGTGTGAGCAGATTGGAAAAGTCTAGCCCCGCCATCTCTCGGTTATCCACTGAACTTCTTCTGTTTTTATGCATTTATATTTTTACATGTCCTATAAACGTTGTGTCACTTTTAGCACCTTAAGTGCATTAAATCTTTAATTTCAATGGTGAAAAATATTAGATGAATTCTGAATTTTAAAAATCATATTTTCACCTAAATAAAGACCAAAATGGCAATGCCACGTCGTTGTGCTGCAGTACATCTCTGAGAGTAACTTTTGTTTACTGCAGGTTGGCAGGTCATCCATCATGATGGAGAGAGTTCATAGATTCTCTATTCTCTCTGAACTCAGTCACAGCATAGTCAAACAAGGGTAGTAAAATGATTTCTGGGAAAATATAAATATAAATAAGACTACTGCAGAATCTTCATATTATAGAATACCATAAAGAGGGCTGTTTCATTTCCAATTTCCTATATAACCAGGGACTGTTAGTATAAGGACTGTTCCTTGGAAAACTTTTTTTTCTTTCCTTATAGCATTTTTATAGAATAGAGGTAATAGTTTAATCCATGGAATAAACCAAACTCTGAAGACAGAATATTTATTTATTTTTAGTTTTTTAATGTTTATTTGTTTTTGAGGGAGAGACAGAGTGTGAGTGGGGAAGGGCAGAGAGAGGGAGACACAGAATCCACAGCAGGCTCTGGGCTCTGAGCTGTCAGTCCAGAGCCTGATGCGGGGCTCAAACCCATGAACCATGAGATCAGAACCTGAGCTGAAGTCAAATGCCTAACTGACTGAGCCACCTGGCACCCCAAATGAAGACAGAGTATTTAGAGGGAGAAGGCAAAGAGGTGCCAAGACTATAACCATGGGGAATGCACTGGAGTGGGTTCTGACAAGGAAAAAGTGAACACAGCTAATAGGAGTGGTCAGGGAGGTAGGAAAGGACTGGAAACTGTGTAAATCAGGGAGAAGAGTTTTAAGAAAGGTGAACATAATGGCCTCTAATTCTGAATTTTCAAAATATTAATCCTTGAAATTACCTCGTAAAATTCACTGCTTGGAATTCAAGGATTGTTTACACAAGAGTGACTCTCCAAGATTTAAAACATGTTTTAAGTCTCGGCTTTTATTTTTAAAGCTGTCATAGTTAAATAGAAATAAAGGAAACAGGGCAAATGGTTTAATTAATGGGAGTTTCCCTCTTGTTAATACAACTCAGCTGTGGCATGTAACCCAGTCCTCCTTGTCAAGGTTTTTGTTAAATCATCAGCCACTTTCTCCTTGAAATTTCTTTGAATCTCCTCCAAATAAAGGAGCTCCTCAGAGCCGCCTGCGCCCCGTGTCTAGAGAGCAGACCCGAGGACCCCTCAGCTGGCTGCACAGGCCAGGGGAGAGCAACAGCAAGCAAAAAGAACCAGGGGTGCCACGCCTTTGCCTTTTGGATCAGGTCCCTTTTCTTTACCCGCAATCACTCTCCCTTGAGACTCTGGTGCTTACTGATGGGTTTTTGCCCTACTACCTTATGTCAAGAAAGGTTTTTCTAAAGCTTTGCTTTTGGTCAATTTTATTTTTAAATCTCTGTTTCTTTGTGAGCAACTAATTTAATCAGCTTCATGTCCTTGATTCGGTCAATCCTGAGAAAAGTTCACTGAAACAACCTCGGTGACTGGTTAGAAAAGGAAAGGAAAAGAAAGCAAAGAAAAGTGCCCACCTTTGTAACTAAATGGATTGTCATCTTTCTATTGACAATACAGGTAGAAGAGACATACTAGTTATAATCTATCATCGGTGGGCTCAGGATTTATCTGCACCCCACCCCCATTGACGTCACCCCAGCCGTGTTCAGCAAATTGATCACTGTTGGGTTTTTTTCAGTGTTTATTTTTGAGAGAGAGAGAGTCAGAAGGCAAGCAGGGGAGGGAAGGGGCAGAGAGAGAATCTGAAACAGGTTACAGGCTCTGAGGTGTCAGCACGGAGCCCGACGCGGGGCTCGAACCTGTGACCCATGAGATCACAACCTAAGCCAAAGTCAGATGCTTAACTGACTAAGCCACCCAGGCACCTGATCTTGTTTGATTCTCGATCCCAAAGTCGTTTGCAGCAATTGTCATACTGCTATTGCTACTGCTACTGCCACTGAGGCATTGCTTTATTTTTCTCTCAGTGAAGCTCAGGTATTAGATTAGGTAGAAGTGAAGAATTTATCCTAATGGCTTATTATCTCTGCAGGCAACATTAACATGAACACAATTCTGCTAGCTATGCAACATCGCTCAATCACTGAGTAACTCGTTTACATGTATTGATATAAGTAAATCTCTGTACACATTTAGGTTCCATTATCACCATCAAGGGAATTAGCTAAGCTTTTATCACAGCATGTGCTGACCAGTGTTGAAGCTACTTGTGATATGGGATTATATTTTTTAAATTTTGGACATGTAAAACAATAAGCTTTTAATTTTTTCATTTCAGATTCACTCATTTCGTATATAATCACTCCAAAGGAGCAAAGTCTGTATTTCGTCTCATGGAACCTTCGAACACCACACATCTATTTACGTGTGACAGCTCCTGCAATTATTAAAACCAGAAGCCATCCAGGATCCTCATGGAGATAAGTCTTTATTGATAGCTAAATTTTCCAGTTAGATGAAGCTTTATTATTTTAAGCAAAGAACTTTATCTTAGTTGGAAGCTTTGGAAAATAAGATTCATATTCCGTTTTCCTAAATATGATAATTTAGGAACAACATTATAACTGGTAAAATCCTGGTGACATACTTGGGATCACCTGCCCCTGTACTAACTGGCCCTAGACTGACGTGTTTTCATATTACTAAACATGATTAGCACTGTTTTTCTGTATTTTATTTGTTATCATCAGCAATTTTCTCCCTTTTCTATTTTGCTACCTCAAATCAATCATGAGTTTGGAAATCAGTTTATAAATCTTAATAGAATTGTATATATTAAATGTAAATAGATATTGTGTGAAAAAGCTGATTTTTTAATCTTTTTAATGTTTATTTTTGAGACAGAGAGAGAGACAGAGCGTGAGTAGGGGAGAGGCAGAGAGAGAGGGAGATACGGAATCCAAAGTGGGCTCCAGGCCCTGAGCTGTCAGCACAGAGCCCAACGTGGGGCTCAAACTTATGAACCATGAGGTCATGACCTAAGCTGAAGTGGAAGGCTTAACCAACTCTGCCACCTAGGTGCCCCAAGAAGCTGATTTTTTAAATAAACATGGCACGTCTTTCCTTTTATTTAGTTCTATTCCTTTTTTTTCTTTTTCAAGTTTATTTAAATTCCAGTTTGTTAACATAATAGTATAATATTAGTTTCACGTGTACAATTTAATACTTACATTCAATACTTACATTCAATGCTTGGGAAAACTGATTTCTTAAAAAAAAAAATACATAAGCTTCACTGCAGTGGAGAATTCAGGCTGGTTGCTCAGAGGCCTTTTTGCTTTCCTGTGCCCTTTTCAGGTGTTTTCAGCTTGCTTCCCTGGTGATGGTGGGGAGACAGAGGAGTGACTTTGAGGATAAACAGAATCTGAATAAATCAGTTATCATTGAAGGCAGAACTCTAAGGATCTGATATATGACATTCCATGGAATGTTTCAGAGTCTCAAATGCCACTAAGAAGCACTGACATAGAATATGGTGGCCCAGATATGAGGGATGGGACAGAATTAACAGATATTAAAGAAAAACACTCCAGTTTTATGTAAGTTTAGTTACTACTATGCTACAGTGGCTCAATGATTGTCACATCTATGATATCCTATAGTATTTAGATGCTCCCTGGTAACTGTATGTCTGAAGGAGACAGAGACAGAAGAGATAAGTCAGAGACAAAATCATGCTGTCAGTGAAAATTAGAAAACATACATTCTCAACAGAGGTGAAAACTGGCTTTCAGGAGGAGAAAATCCTATTTTTATGTATAAAGCACAGATAAGCATATGCAGCAGATAAACATACACGGCATATCTGCGGTATTAAAGTTTCATAGGGAGTGGTATTAGAAAAAAATAGACTACTTGGCTGGAGTGACAATATGAAGAAAAAAGGTTGAGAAACACTGCTCTAAGACTTGAAATCTAAGACCAGCAACTATGAATGAAGGAGGAAGGACAGGTGTTGGCAGGTGCAGGGGGTTTACAGCACCACTGTTCGTATGTCAACAGGTGGCCCTGTCTGCCTCTCTAGCTCCTTTCCCTCATTCACCTGCGCCACACATTTTACCCCAATGGAACCATTGTATTTCTCCAAGGTGGCATTCTATTTCTTGATGCTGAGCCTTTGCACATGCTGGTCCTTTGGCCTGGGATTCTCTTTTCCCTCTTTCTTACCTCCTATCTCATCCTTCAACATACAACTCAACCATCACCTTGTCCAGGAAGGTTTCCAGATATGTGCAAAACAACAACAAAACTGACTATAGAAATATAGAAAGCAAGATAAACTGACAGCAAGGATGTTGTGCCATTGAAGGATGCTGACTCCGAGCAGAGACCTGAGTGCAGTAAGAGAGAGTGCCATATGACTATTTGTAGGAAATGTGTTCCGTAGAAACAAATACCCTGAAGTCAAAGCAGGTCGTTGGACTCCTGGAAGGTCTCTGTAGCTGAAACCAGCAATAGAGAAGGGAAGTCACAGGAAATTAGGTGGGAGAGGTAATGAGAAGTCATATTATATGGGGCATGGTAGTGTTAGGGCTTTGAATTTTCTACCAGGTATGGTGGAAAATTACTAAATCATTAATAGCAGGATGTAGATGAGTTGACTGATGGATTTAAGGCCTGGCCGTTGATTGCTGTGTGAAGAATTCATGGTTGCAGAATGAGCAAAGCAAGAAGTGCAGGTAGAAGGCTAGTAGGAGAGTACAGGAAAAATAGCAGTTGCTTGGACTAGTGTGTTAGCGACTAAGTAGGTGAGAAATTGCCTAGAGTCCTGTGCCCCTTCCATTTTTCTGAACACATGGAAAATTCCTACCCACACTGCAAACCTCAGGCCATGCACCTAAACGTCTGGAAACCTTCCCCAGCCAGGCCAGCTTGATGGGCGTCTCCCCCATCAGGACCCTCACAGTTCTTTGTATATTCTTCCAATTCCAATTCATTGTAATACTTACTTATATGCCCATCTTTTGTACCACACTGCAAACTCTGATGGTTAATTTTGCGTGTCAACATGAGTGGGCCACAGAGTGCCCAGATACTAGGTTAAAAATTATTCCTGGGTGTGTCCGTGAGGGTTTTTCTGGATGAGATCCACATTTGAATCTGCAGACAAAGTAAAGCAGATCACCTTCTCCAGGGAAGGTGGTCCTCATCCAATTCATTGAAGGCCTGAATAAAATAAAGGGCTGAATAAGAAAGAGTCCTTTTTCTCTACCTGACTGTCTCCAAGCTGGGCCACTTGTCTTCTCTTGCCTTTTGCCTCAGCTTCAGACTGGAACTTCTACCGTTGGGTCTCTTGGGTCTCCAGCTTGCAGATGACTTACAGGTCTTACACTTCTCAGCTTCCGTCTCAGATTTTTTTTATAGCAAATCTCTCTATATCTAGAGTAAAATCTCTATCTATACCAATTTCTTACAGTAAATCTCTGTGAATCTAAATCTATATTTACATCTAGGTACTCTAGTGAGTCACCACTTAGGAGCTTTACTCCTTAACAGATTTCATTGGCACAGTTTTGGTGTGAGCATCCAGTTTTAAAGAAAATATGCTCAGACAGGAAGGCCAAGTCCATGTGCATGTGGCAAAGTTATACTTCTGTGGTTTCATGTTAGCCACCTTATAGTTACTAAGCAATTAGTGCCACTTAATGTATACTACCAAAACTAAAAATATTTACCCCAGACTGCAAAAAGTGTCTTAGCTTTAAAAAATGTCTGATGGCGGGGTGCCTGGGTTGCTCAGTTGGTTAAGTGTCAGACTTCGGCCCAGGTCATGATCCTGCGCTTCGTGGGTTTGAGCCCTGTGTCGAGCTCTGTGCTGACAGTCCAGAGTCTAGAGCCTGCTTCAGATTCTACGTCTCCCTCTCTTTCTGCCCCTCCCCTGTTTGTACTCTATCTCTCTGTCTCCCCAAAATAAATAAACATTAAAAAGACATTTAACAAAAGATAAAAAATGTCTGATGGAAAAAAAATAAATCTGTACCTCCATATCCTATTGGTTAGGTTTCTCTGGAGAGCCCAGACGAATACAAGCAGATTATTTAATCATCTTATGCTACCGACTAAATGTCTGTATCCTCCCCAAATTTGTACGTTAAATCCTAATCCCTAATGTGATCGTATTTGGAGGTAGGACCTCTGGGAGGTGATTAGGTCATGATCACGGAAGCCTCATGAATGGGATAAGTGAACTTTCAAAGGGAGCTCACAGAGCTCCTCACTCCTTCTGCTGCGTGAGGACACAGTGCCTACGAATCAGGAGGCAGTTTCTCACCAGACATCAAATCTGCTGGCACTGTGATCTTAAGAGCTCTCAGACTCCAGAACTGTCAGAAATAGATTTCTGTTGTTTATAACCTGCTCAGTTGATGGCCTTTTGTTATAGCAGTCCAAACGGACTAAGGTTATATTCGCATCTGAAAAGCCTAAGATAGTAGCCAACATCAAAAAGCTTTCACATTGTGCTTAAGTGTTTCATTTGATACAAGATGATGAGGTAGGTATTATTATTACCCCGTTTTCAAATATGGAAACTGAGGCACTGGAAGTTTAAGGGACTTGTCCAAACCCATAGCACTGGCTACAGAATGAGCTGGAAAGTGGCTGCAGTAGTCCTCAAACCCATCTCTCTAAACATAGGGATTTCACTTTTAGCCATTTTGCAACACTGCCATAATAAATGTTTTGTTCTTAAACCTTGGAGAGAATCCAAATTGGTTTGAGATTAAAATTAGATGGATAAAATGATCAGTAATTATGTAAACATCTTGTTCAGTCTCTAGTGACATATCTCAGAACTTCTATGCTACAGTTTTTCTGGTAAAAGAGGCACTGGTTTGGGCCAAACTTCTCTGAGATGGAGGATCACAGGAGTGCACTTCTAGGGTTTATCAGAAGCATGGCAGTTGAGTTTGTTAGACTAAGTGAGCCTTCACAATCCTTTGGGGCATATACACTGTTGATCATTTTTATCTAAAACTGTCATACCTTCATCTATCGCTGAAATGGCTGCAGACCTATTGTTAGTTTAATAAAAAAAAAAAAACATTCTGGCATGTTTTCCTAGTTATAGCAATACATCTGTACTCTTCTATTCATACAGGTATTCTCTGAAATGATCACTTGTGCTTTTAATAACTGACAAAATATGATCCATGCACAAAGCACTATGAGCTGTTGGTCACTGCCACCTCAAAGCATTTTTAGAACAAAGCCAAGTGTAAATGAATACACAAACAAGTAACCAACTAAACCCACAATCTTGGCTTAGCAATCATAATGTGCGAAGCTTAGCAATCACCAATGTGAAAACATTTTCCTGAGAGAGACACATGGGAAGAAGCTGATGATATGCTAAACAGGTAGCCTCTCTTTCTTCAGGCTGACAGAATGTAGTTAAAAGTATTTAGCAGAATTTCTGCCTTCACTCATTTCTCCTGAAAAAGACATGCGGGTTTTTTGGCTTCATCCCTTTGTTCTTTTCCTCTGCTGACACTGGGTGTTGCGCTGCTAGAGAAAACTAGGCAGAAGAGAGAGGTGCACTGCTTTTCTCTTTTGGCTTCCGCTGTGTTACATGGACAGCCTTGTTCTCATTGCCTCCTTTCTCCCACCCGCTCCTCACCTGTGATTTCAGAAAGCCTACTGTCTTTACGTAAATCTAATGGAACCTTAGTGAATTATTCCCAAACACCATGACAAACATTAAGAGTACAAAATATTAGCAGGGAGGCTGTGACTTTTAGGTCATAGTTTTTCTCAGAATCAGTGGTCTCATTTTTCCACTGTTTGTCATTCTTTCAGCACACACCAGTGAAGTCCCTGGCCCCAAAGAGAATGCTGTGTTTACAGATCGGAGGTAGAGGTTCACAGAGTTCTTCAGAAAGTGAAGGAAGGCTCCCTTACCAAGGCTATTGCACCACAGACATTTACAGTGTTCCTTGATGAGTGGGATCTTGTGGGATCTCATAACTTGTAACTTTTTTCTAACAATCAGGGTATTTTCTGGCTAGGGACACACAAAAGAAAGGGTAGGGGAGATAGGAGAAGGAATGGAATCTGAGCTGGAAATGTACCCACTCATGGGAGGGCTGGTCCTGGCTGATATTGGGAAGTTAGCAAAAGAATGGGCCCTCAGCTCTACTAGCCTCTCCTAAACGATGCCTTCCCTCATCCTCCCCATTTGAGAGATGTCTCTTTCCCATTCCTCAGGTTTTCTCCAGGTACCCCACAAAAGCCTCTTTATTGAGTCAATAGAAAATGTGACAATGTGGAATACTAGAAACAGTACTCAATATATATTCAGCTACATCCTGGTC